TGTATTTGTTGTTACTGTACATTTTAATTTTAATTAGATGTTTTTTAGTGCAGAGGAATCGGAGGTGGGGCAGGGCAGGGTGCATATGAGGCCCATCATCCATACCATGGAAAGCCTATGTTTTAATTAGATTAAGGCCAAGTTTGGGAGTGCCTATTTGAAAAATAAGTGCATATTCTAATAAGTGTTCATGAGCGTTTGGTGAAAAAGCATTTACTTCAAATACGGGTAGTATAGATATTTTCAAAATGACATGGACGGCCAAGATAGCCCAGAAAGAAGTGCTTATTGAATAAGCACTTAAAAATAAGCCCGGATTTTGGGTTTCTCAAAAAAATGCTTATTCTCAGAATGAGTACATATTTCGGGCTTATTTCCCAAATGCCAATAAGTGGTTATTGGTGCGGTCCCGGCCCAAAATAACAAATAAGCACTTACTTTTAAGTACTGCAAACATGGCCTAAGAATCTTCTTTTGAGTTCTATGCATCTTCACTTTTCTTTTTAATTATAAAATAGGCCAATCATCCAAATCCCCAGATTTAAATAGCCATTTAAAATAGGAAATCATATAAAGTGGATTCTTTTCTTGCTTTGCTGATTTCTCAAGTAAATATTTTATCCTATTGCAACACATTAATACATGGCATCCAAAGGCATAAAACACTGCCCACATCCAAGAACCCCCAATACGTGACAGGTCATAACCACTCTGGAAAGACCATCTTCTACGTGCTAAATAGATCTAGTGTTCCATATGAAGGGGTGCTCACTCTGGATGCCAAAGCTCTTGCCTCGCTGAAATGCAATATGCTCTGCAGTAATGCATGTTTTGACGGCCAGGGCAATACTCGAACCGCCTTACTAATATACAAATAAAAAAAATCCTACACCTTGACCACATTCAAGTGGCTATGATTAAGGATCTAGCAACTCTCCTACTAAACCCCAGAATAAGAGAGAGAGAGAGAGAGAGAGAGAGAGAGAGATCAAACTAAAAGAAATTACTTCTGGTTCATGAATACTAATAAAATTGGGAAATTTTCTTCAAGCTAGAATTCTTTGAATCTTTTCTGTTCATGCAATTATAAAATACAAAGTAAATATTACCTGAAAATTTACTGGTATCTTAGCTTACCCACCCTATGGAATGACAACAGCATCTAATAAAAGCAATAACTATCGTACTTTAAAAGTTTTCAAATATATAACTAAAGGCAATAACCCATATAAGAGGCTAACATTTTTCTTTTTTTTTATACTTTTACTACACCATCTTCATAGCAACAAAATCATATGGCTAAAGTGTTGGCTGAAAGAATGAAAGGGGTTTTAGGCAGTGTGATTTCTAACGATCAGAGTGCATTTGTTCCAGGGGGGCAGATGCTAGACTCAGTTCTCATTGCTAATGAACTTATTTGATCTGTAAATTTGATATTGAGAAAGCATATATGAACATGTTAACTGGAAATGTCTGGACTTTGTGCTGGAAAAAATAAACTTTAGGCAGCAATGGAGAAACTGGATCAAAGTCTGCATTATGTCTCCTAAATTCTCAATCTTGGTTAATGGGCAGTCTATGGGGGTTTTTTACAATTCCAGAGGCTTGACACAGGGTGATACCCTCTCCCTTGCTTTTTATTTGTGTCATGGAAATCCTTACACTTTTTAGCAAGAAGGCCACAGTTTCTGGAGAGCAGAATAAATGCTCTTCCTCTTCTTCCTTTCAGGATCTGGAAGCTTCTTGTTGGGAAGGCTTTGCAATCTCTCCGCAAAGGGAAAAGGTCAATATCCTCCAATTGCCAGATGACACCCTATGCTTTGTTGATGCCCCTCTGAATCAGCTGCAGATTGTCGTTGGAATTCTTAGCTGGTTTGAAGCGGTTTCTGGGTTAAAGTTAATTTGAGAGATAGTCAGATTATTCCAGTGGGCCAAGTTTCAAATTTAGATGAATGTGCTAAGGTATTGGCTTGCCATGTTGAGTTCCTCCCGGTGAAGTATTTGGGGTTTGCCCCTTGGGACAAAATGGTCTTCCTCTTCGGCTTGGGCCCCAGTCATTGAAAGAATGGAGAAAAAATTGGCTTCTTGGAAGGCAAAATATTTTCTTTTGGGGGTAGAGCGACTTTGATGAAGAGTACCCCCTCAAACCTACCCACTTACTTTCTTTCTCTCTTCCCTATCCCAAACAAAATAGGGAAAAGATTGGAGCAATTACAGAGAAATTTCTTATGGGAAGAAGAACAAAAAGTACACCTTGTCAAGTGGGATCTAGTGTGTCTCCCTAAGGAAGAAGGGGGACTAAGATTAAGAAATCTGAAGAAGTTTAATTCAGCTCTTCTCAGTAAGTGGATCTGGAGATTTGCTTCTGAAAGGAATGCTTGGTGGAGAAACTGTTAGACAATGTATGCCCTTAGCTCCAATCAAATTGATATACATATGCATTTATTGTAAATGAATAAAAGTACATAATTGATTTGTGTTATATTTGGTGTTTTTCTATGTAATTACCCTTAAACTAGACACTTATGAGACTCGTGCTAGTTTAAAATGTTCTCAGCCATTGGAGACCTGGGGAGGTTTATCCTGCCAAGGCTGACACTAATGTGCTGCCAAGTTGGTTGGGGGGTGGCTTGCCTCAGTTGCCAGGGTGAGACCCAAAGCACATGTAGTGTGTGTTTGTTTGAAACACTAAACCCGAACCATTTTCCAATTATGCCCTAGACCTTGAAGACTGGTGGGCAAAATTGGAAAGTTACACCTAACCCCTAGACTCGATTATGGTACTGCACTGGGTGTCGGATTGGGTTGCCTTTGATATGCCAATCAGTGAGATCCTTAGAGGGGGTAAAAACCTGGGCATGTTGGGGCAGTCTAAGAATTCACTTGAGTGGGTGATCATAGTGACAGGACCAGCCCCTTTGTCGAACAATGTGAATGATCGGGGACTGCACTCTCTCTGATGAAAACCTAAAACTACCGGTATTTGACTTCAAACTTGTTTGATATTTGTTTTGCAAAAATATATTTATATGAAAATATATATATATATATATATATATATATATTATATTTTATGAAAAAGGTTTGCAAAAAGTTTTAATTCCTGGAATCCATTCGAGCAAAGAGTGCAAGACTGTACCTTGCAGCCGAGGGAGAGGTCCTCTCTTGTCTGGTAGTGTTTGATCATTAAGGGCTGAGAGGTCAAGTGTAAGACCATTTAGGGCTTTTATACCTGATGGGCTAATCTCACTTAAGACCATTGTCCTTGGGCCTTCATAAGATGGGTGGACTCAAGGACCATTTAGTGTAAATGTCGGGCCCATTAAGAGCCCATACTGATGGACTCAGGGGTTCACTATGTTTAGTAGTGAATTCGGCCAGGCTTTGTCACAGAAGCTAGGTTGAACCCATATG